TAAAAAAAAATTGAAATCACTTGTAAATATTAGACCTGTATGGACAGATATGTGTCCTAACTCTTGCTATACATATACTGAAGGTTATAAAAAATTAACTAAGTGTCCAATTTGTAAATCAAATCGGTACTATTATAACAAAACCAGACAGCCATATTAGCAATTTGCATATTTTTCACTTTCACAACATTTTATTATTCAATATAAAGATTATAATCATGTTACAGAACTACAATATAAAGCTAATTATATATCACAAAGATCATATACAAATAACTACCAAATAGGTGATGTTTTTGATAGTATTCAGTATAAAGAATTAGTGCAAGACAAACACTTTCAAGATGAGTGTGATGTGGCATTATTGGCTTCAATTGATGGTTATCAAATATTTAGACAAAAAACTGATAACTGTTGAATAGTATTAGTAATTAATGCAGATTTGGCATCTGAAAATCAGGTTAAAAAAGAGAATCTTCTAATTAGTTTAATTATACCTGGGCCAAAAGAGCCTAAAAATCTTAATTCATTTCTTTTTCCTATGGTAAAAGAATTAGAAAAATTAGAAGATAAATATATTAAATTATTATTACAAATAATTAAGTTAATATTTCACTAATTTTAATTAATTTATTAAGTTAATTTTACTAATTGTTAATTAAATTAATTTTACCAACTTTAATTACTAATTTTTAATTATTAGTGAGTATAAATTGCTATGATGCATTTAAAAAAAAATATTTTACACTTTATACTATAATAATTAGTTGGTCAGATAATATACCAGCGTTAACGAAATTAATGGGCCTTACCGAGCATAATAGTTATCAAGGTTGTCATTATTGTAATTTAAGAGGTGTCTATATAAATCATATCTACTATTCTACAACTCCACCTAAGAACTTGAATTCTACAAGATATCAAGCATCTAATTTACCAAATCGAACATATGAAGAATAGAGAAGGAGACTTAAAATAATTCAAAAGGCCAAGCCTAGAAAAGAATGAAATGAATTTATTACTAATTTCGGTAATATTTGAGTTGCTATTAATAGAAATCAATGTAGAATCTACATTGATTTTTATTAGATAGAAATTGAAATCAAAGTAGATTCTACCTTGATTCCTATTAATGGCAGCATATTTTTAGTTCTATAAATTCTATTATTATAGTAACAGATACTAAATATATATATCTAAATATATATATATATATATTTTATTTTTTTATTTTTTTTTATTTTATTTTTTTAATGCAGGTATTAACAATTATAGTATTCTTTTTGATCTAACAACCATTAATTTTTCTAATTCATTTACTGTGGATATAATGCATTTATTCTATAAAAATATCACAAAGTATATGTTTAAACATTGGACTGGAATATTCTTTTCAAATGCATCACAGAACAATGAGCCATATGTAATAGCAAAAGCAATTTGGTCAGATATTGGAAATAAGATGCATTTATTGCACAAAGATTTATCATCAAATCTTGGAAAACCTTTACATAACATACTACTACATTACTGTGGCTATAAAGCTAAAGAATAGGTAGCATGGATTACAATATATTCACTTCCTTTACTTAAAGGATGACTACCATTAGAATATTATAATGGATGGAGCTTTTTGTAAAGACTGTACGACTATGCCAAAAAAAGTTATATCAGCACATAATTTAAGTCATATTAATAAACTTTTATTAAAGTTTTATACTCATTATGAAAGGTAATTTTCTAGTACATATTTATTTTTTAAACTCAAAAAGACTACTACTCTAGTAATTTTTAAGTTAAAATTAAATTTACAAATTTGATTATTCTTATACTTAAAAGTCAAACTTGTAAATTCAATTTTAGTCTAAGAATTACTAGAGTAATAGTCTTTTTGCATTTAAAAAAAAGCAATATAATAACACTATATATGCTTACTTTATATTTTTACTTTATATTTAATTTTTTTCTATTCATTTTATTATACTTACTAGAAAGTATTACAAAAATTTAATCAAACGTATTAGTGCAATGAAAATATGTATACATTATATACTTTACGTATCTTTGAGTATTCAGCAAAATGGCCCATGCTAGGCAACATGGCAGTTTCCAATCAAACATGTTTGCGGCATGTTACTACCACTTGCAAGATCACAATTACATCCATATAAAAATATTATTAATAGCATTTATACTATTGAACTTTTTAATCATTTACAATTCTATAAAAAAATTAACCAAAAAATGTTTTTCTTAAACAATTAAAATGATTCAAATCAATTCATTTTTTTAGCAGATGAATATGAAGAAAAATTTCTCGATTCTACAAAACAACACACATTAAGCAATGCAGAAATTAAAAAAATAAAAGAGCATTATGTAACAAATTATAATATAAAGGCCAATCAATTACAGGTTAGTATTTTTATTTAAAAAGAAAAAAAATAAATAAATAAAATAAATAAATAAACAAAAATAAAAATAAAAAATAAAAAGCAAAAAAAATTATTTAAATTAATTACTAATATAAAATATTTAGTCTTTTATATTACAAATACAAAAATTTGAAACTTATATACCAAATACAGAAATTGTATAGGATCTAGTTAGATTGCACGAAATCAAGACTAGGCACATATAAACTATTTGGTGCTAGTATGTATGATATAATTTATTAAATAAAAATATAAAGCGCTGTCAAGAGAAAACTTATTATTAAACTTATAAATTTTAAAAATTTAATTATAAACTTTCTCTTGGAGGCACTTATATATATATATATAACAAGCCTAGCATAATTACCAAGATTATTTATGTATGGATTTTAAATAAATTTATAATGCTAAGTAGCAAACATATTTTT